CCGCTCTTCAACCCAGACCGTGTGTCAGCAAAAGCCATTTTGCTTTAGATATGCTGTAAGTTCCATACAGACATGAAGTGTCATGAAGATTGAATCCAACTTCCTGTTTTGCAGTTTCCTTAGTAACATCTTAGCCTGTAGCAAACCTAAATTAAACCTATTATCATTCTTTACATCTTTCTAAAATTTCCCAACCTCCCCTTGAAGTGGTTTACCGTTTTGTACAAACTAGGATGATAGCAGGTGGTGGTTCAGTGGTACTACGACATGAACAAATGCCAGCCCTCTACACTGAGGTCCTGAGGAGGAAGGCTGTTTGCCTTTGCCTTTGTCCTGTGGTCAGACCCAAGAACTGGAAAGCTGGCAATGCTTGGTGAAAGTGAATGTTTGTTAAAGGAATGAATGTGTGTTGTTGCTTTTCAGTATCTGTCGTACTAGTGCTCTGGATGATGGCAGAGTATTCCAGGATTTTTTTTGTTATTCCCATATTTAATACAGTTGGCTTTGCGGATTGTGGCTCTCCCTCTTCTAGCTCACTTCAGACAAAGCATTTCACCTTTCTGAACTTCGGTTTATCCTCATCTGAAAATGGGACTTCTGGTACCTTCTTCTTTGGGGCCCTCTAAGTACTAATTGAAATCATGTATATGGCATTAATGAAATAGCCAACTGTGGTGTGGTATGGTGATTCAGATGACTGGATCATACATGGCCAACTGCATGTATTGAGTCCTGGACCTGGTAGCTTGAAAAACACACTGAGCGCATATGTGTGCATGCCCAAAATCCTGAGAGGAGAGTGGAAGAGACCCAGGGTAGATGGCATGACCACCCCTTTCCTGGGGACTGTTTTCTTACTTTTCATCTCTGTCCCCAATGAGCACACATTTCTATAGCAAAACTTTTTTAAAAATGCATTCGTTTTTCTTCCTTTCATTTTCCTTTCTTATATTGTGAATCTTTCCCAATTGAATTGATATTTTTTGGTTTCTCAGGTGTGGGTTGCTGACCGAGGAAATAAAAGACTCCAAATATTTGATAAAGACACTGGGGAGTGGTTAGGAGAGTGGAATAACTGTTTTACAGAAGAGGGGCCTTCTTCAGTCAGGTAATTGTTTCTTTTTCTCTGAAAATGCTTGTTTGAGTTAGTTCCTGTGTCTTCCTCTGACTACCTAGCTACAAGTTTAAAATACTTATTATTAATTTTAAGCTAGGAGAGATGGAAGAAAATAATTATATAGAGAAATTTGAAAATCCCAGATAAAGTGAAAACAATTAAATTCCCAGTTTAACTAGTTAAATTGTGGAATTCCAGGATTAGGATAATATATGCTAAACTTCTCCTGTAGCCTTTATCTTCAAAGTACATTTTTAAGCACAGAATAAAAATTAAAGTCCGATGGGAACCAGCAGTCAACGTAATGGTTATGTCACTGGACTCCCACAAAGTCAACCGCGGTTTGCGTCCCGGACCCGATGGCTTAAAACTCACGCCGGGCGCGTGTGCGTGCGTGCCCAAGATCCTGAGAGGAGAATGGAGGAGAAGGGATTGCGATGTGACCATCCCCCCTGGGGGGTGATTTCTCGCTTTCTGTCTCTATGTCTCTCTCTGTCTGTCTGGCGAGCACATGCGCCCTATAGTGAAAACCTCTCCAAAAAAAAAAAAAATTAAGCTTTGCGCAGTGGCAGTATCATAGCCAATGAGGTTTATCCGAGGCGCGATTATTGCTAATTGAAAAAAAAAAAATTAAAGTCCGAGTCTGTAGTATCAAACTCAGTCTAATAGCAGCTCTTCAATAGTTTCATTTTGTGTGGCACTATAATATTTATCTTTTTAATTTAAGCTAATCTTTAGTTATCTCTATTTTTTCTATTTCCCTCCCTCATAAAGAGAATGAGATCAATTTATATTCTCCTTTTAAAAATCGTTTAGCCAGTAGGTGCCTACTGTTGTTTAGTGCTGTAGCTGATTAAAATGTTGCTACAATAAACGGTCTATTTTTCATAAATGTGTGCCATGAAATGTCTTTTTTCTTTAGATTCACTCCTGATGGGAAGTACTTGATTGTAGCCCAGCTGAACCTCAGCAGGCTCTCGGTTGTGGCAGCACCCCCGGTAGGCAGCATTGGCAACTGTACTGTGATCAGCACGATCCAGCTAGCTGATCAAGTTTTGCCGCATCTCTTAGAAGTCGATGGAAAGACCGGAGCAATCTATGTAGCAGAAATTGGAGCAAAACAAGTACAAAAATATGTTCCTTTGAATAGCTATGTTCCCTCATTTGTTTTATAATTTTTTTTTCTTGGAGCTATTCAAACAGCGATTGAGATTCACAGATTCATGAAGTGTCTAAAAATGATGTTCAAGCACAAGAATTTGTTTTTTACTTGATCTTGTACCAAAGAAATTGGGTTTTATATCATAAAGACTCCTATGTTATGCTGCCGTTTTTGGGACTTGGTTTTTCCAAGTACATACAGATATTTTAGTGAAAGAAGTGTAACTTTAAAAAGGAGTAAAAAAAAAAAAAAGGAACTAAGGTTGTTATTTAGTTATTTGCCCTGGTAAACTGCTTATCCCTGGGTAAATAAAAAGTGGGGGTGGAGGGGAAGAAAAATGGGGTTGTGGGATAATTCATTAAATTGCATATGAAGAACTACAAACCTCCAGGTGGTTAAATTCAGCTACTGTTCAGTGCACTGCTAGAGAGTGACCAAGATGGGCTGTGGATTAATTTAAGCACCCACAGAGTGCTACGTCCTGAAGATTCAGAAATGAAGAAGGATTATCTGCCTTTTGAGTAGCTTCCAGTCCAGTAGGGAGACAAGGGACAAGTGGACAAACAGTCACAACACGGTGACAGCGACATATGAGTACAGTTAACTTTGGAAATGAGTGTTGTTTCCAACCAAAGAACTCATGGAGACTTTGCAAGAGAGACATAAATTTGAGTTTGGACTTGAAAACCAAAGAGGAGCTTGCCAGGGGACAAAAAGGAGAAAACAATAGTGTCCCAAGTAGAGAAGGTATAAGCAGTTGTAAACTCGCTGTGAACTTTGATAAGCTTTTAGCCCAAATTGGCTTTGTTCTTTTAGTTGTAAAATAGTTAATGTCACCTTTTAAATGTAGGAATAAAATGGCTGACATTTAAGCACCTTACTCAGAGGAATTTTTACGAATAACTATAATGTTTTATAAAGGTAGTATTAAAAATAGAGGCTCTCTTTATGCTTCCTGCTTTTTTCTTTCTTTTTAAAAATGTTTAACCTAAACTCAGTTCATCCTAACATTGGCCTACCTCAAGTTTCAGCAGAGTTATTATAGGGATGTGCCAAATCTTTTGGGCTAGTAAGGTAAACAATTTCCTGCCTCCCCCCTTTTTTTAAACATCTTTTTTCCCTTTTCAATGTTAGTTTTCCAATTAAGACTTTTTTTCAGTTTGTTCATGTTTATTCAAGAGTTTGGTGGAACCTTGGCATATTATAATTGTTCTAATCATCCTTTCTCCTTCCTCTCATCAGCTTCCCTTTTTATCCCAGTATTTTATTGTAAATGGTGGAACATGTGAGTAATCTTGAGCTGATTTTGCTCACCATCCATTATGGCTGTGGTCTTTTCCAAACCTGAAGGAATCTGCTCATTTTTTGATGCTTGGATCAGTTTTTGGATTGATTAGGAAGGTAAATCAGCCAATGGGAAGCACTGTCCTATATTCCAAGGCCATTGATAAAGTGTTTATTCCACTGATCAAACTCTATGATCGTGAATGAGTTACCTTCATTTTTATCTTTAGTAAAACAAGAAACATCATTGCCTTCTTCCTTCGCAAGTGCTGTGATGATCAAATGTTCAACGCATCCCCATGTGCCCTTTGAAATCTGTACATTAGAGGTGTTTTATTAACAAGGGTCTTTCTATATGTGGTATTTACCTAATACAAGCTACCAGGTTTGCCTTAATTTGTGTTCTAGCTTTTATCAAAACATAGCCTCTTGGACTTTATGCAGTTACCTAATAGGGTCAACTGATGTGGAAGAAAGAAATCAACTTGAAGGTTTTGTTTGTTTGTTTTTGGTTTTTGGAGAGATTTTTGCTATCGGGCATATGCGCTCACCAGAGAGACAAAGAGAGAAAGTACAAAGTCACCCCCTGGGAGGATGGCCACACTGCAGTCCCTTCCCCTCCATTCCGCTCTTGGGATTTTGGGAATGCACATGCAAGCGCCTGGCATGAGTTTTAAGCCACTGGGTCTGGGACATTAACCATGGTCAACTACATGGTAGTTCAGCAATATAACTGCTATGCCATCTGCTGTTCCCTTGTTTGTTTTTAAGCTACAACAAGAAGTAATGCCTCTTTGAAGGAAGGTAGTGGGTAAACCAGTTTTGTCATTTCCAAAATATTTTATTTAACTTTATTTTCTTTCACATCCCTATAAAGCTTGCTCAAAACATTGTTTCTATACATCTTGCAAAAGACATTATTTTATTAGCACTGATGGTAACAGCATTTCACTTTTCTCTTTGGGGTTAATTGATGAAATGAATGAGAATGTGTTAATGTTTTCTATTGAAAAATACAGATAAAATTTTGTAAAGAAAAGGCAATACTGTCTGACTCTCCAATTAAAGTTTGGTTTTATTATCCTAAAAAAGAGTTTATGTGACTTTTTATTCCATTAAAGAATTTTAACAATTATGAAATCACAGGCTGGTGCTGAGAGACTGCCCCGATTTTCAAGCACATGTGGAGTGTAAGCTGACGTGCAGAAGGATTCCTAGCAGTTGCTTGGAAGATTTAAACACTTGGCTCCCTTTGAGGCAGGGAGGGTACAACTGACAGCAGTAACTAGCTAATTGTTTCTATCTCTGTATTAGAAGGGGAACCTCTTTCTGTCTATACTTCAATCTAATTTTGGATTAGGGAAGGGGAGGGAACATTCCAAATTAGAAAACCAAATGCCATAGGTATCTTTGCTCCACTAGAAGATTGAGTCTTTAAAATAGAATGTATTTCAATCAGAGAGAACTGAAATCTGGTGGTAAACAAAGAGGATCTATAGTTTGCGCTTAGGTCACTTAACAGATTGAAAGACTGCTTTAAGCAATGTGGCTGCAAGGTTTTGGCAATAATGTTCTTATTTTTGTTTTGCTTTGGCTGATTTTAAATATTCTTGGATTGTAAATTAGGATAGATACTGAAGAGCCACCATTAAAACTAGGAAGTCTAGATTTTTGCTTCTTAGGCTCATCAAAATCAGGATCATTAAAAAAAAAGTGCCTAAATATATATGGCTTTACATTGTTTTATTCTCGGCCATGTAGTTTCAATAAGAGTTAAAAAATTAAAAAAGAAAATTAAATCAGAATAAGTCATATTTACTCTTTATTCATTAGGTAAACATTTTTGAGACAATAAACATGTGAAGACACTTAATTCTAGAGTTCTCTGCCCTAGTAATCTGCTACCTGATAGTTAGGGGGAAAAAAACTCACATAAGCCATTTTCTTTCAATATTAACTGGGAGGCCTCCAGTTGGCACTTGTGTTGCGTTCTTGGTACAGAAGAGGGCAGTAGAGTTCTGCTTATAATAAGCATTTCTTGAAATCAAACCTGGGCTGTTGTTCTGTTCTTTATACTTAGATTTTTTTTTTTTTAAATTGAAGCTACACGATTGAATTGTACTTTCAATTTTTCCTCTTTCTCTGCAAGCTTGCTTGTGTCTTGAAGAAATTGGTTTATATGTGACACATTTTACAAGGGTTATTGGAAATTGTACTTGCTTAATTGGGCTTTTCTATGTTTAAAAAGAAAAGCTTAACCTTTTCAATGATTTAAATAACAGCCAGAAGTAAATGACTCATTTTAAACAGGAGCAAGAAGAATCTGAAAATGTGAATTTAGTCCAATAGAAGATGCCTTTGATTGGGCAGAGAATTAATTCTTTTTCTCTGTACTTGCTTGTTTCTGTAATACTCTTGCTTTGCAGTTGTAGATTGTTTTACAAATAAGAAAACTGTGTTATTTAATGAAGAGGCCAAATCATTTCTCCACCAGGCGCTTATCCATAGAATTCAAGAGTTCATAATTAATTGACTAAGTAATCCTTTAAAGGTGTAAGAACTGGGTAGACTTTGAGCAGTGAAAAATGTCACTTCACTTGGGACCAGCAGTTAGCATAATGGCTATGTCGCTGGACTCCCATGTAGTCGACTGTGGTTCAAGTCCCAGACCTGGCGGCTTGAACTCACGCCAGGCGCATATGTGTGCATGCCCAAGATCCTGAAAGGAGAATGGAGGAGAAGGGATTGCAGTGTGGCCATCCCCCTGGGGGGTGATTTCTCGCTTTCTGTCTCTCTGTCTCTCTCTGTCTTTCTGGTGAGTGCACACGCCCAGTAGCAAAAAAACCCAATAACTTTCAAAAGAAAATGTCACTCCACTTCTTGAAACTTTTCCCTTTCTCATTATAAACAGCGAAATAATATTGTTGAAGTAATTCTATTTTATGTAATTCGTTGAGAAAATAGAATGTAACATGAAACAAGCATATTCTAGGTAGACTGAGGTTTTTTTTTTAAATCCAGTCTTTTTTTTTTTTTCCTTGAGAGAGAGATTTTTTTTTATTTAATTCTATGTGTTTAAGCCACTAGGTCTGGGACTCGAACCATGGTCTATGTGAGAGTCCAGCAATGTAACTGTTACACCACCTACTGGTCCCTTAAATCTAGTCTTCTAAAAGTCGGGTTAATTTGGATGTGTCACACCAAGTTAATATCATAAACTTCTCAATTTTCAACCACCTTTCCATATTCCCTAGGAAGGAAATTTTAGAAGCATTGGCAAATTTTCAGATTTGTTCTTAACTAGAATGGGTTAGTACATGTCTTATTGTTTTTAACTATAGGACAATTATATGCAATTTGTCACAGTAATCAAACATTTTTATAACATTATTCTTCACAATGTATACATAAAGGAATATTGAAATGTTTTGATGCTTACTGTATTTAACTGAAATATATTTTTACTTAACTAGAGGGATTTAGGAACTAGTTATATGTATTTTTTTAATAAACATTAATTTTTAAAATGTATACTTTTTTTCTTTTTGGGATGTATGTATGTGTGTACTAGTGTGTGTGTGCACATGTGTAAATATAAATATACACATAAAGGGCATTGTGCACTAATAGGTCAGGACAACTGGATCAAAATTTACAGTTGAAACTTTGCATGGTTAAATTTAAGTCCTGTCTGTACGTTGAGAAACTCATGGGATGGCTGGCTCAGTGTACAGCTGGATCCCACGTGGCAACTGTGGTTCAGATCTCTAGCCTGGTGAGCCTAAATCATGCTGGGCATCTGAGTGAGTGAGTGCCCAGGGTCCCAGGGCTGGAGGATGCTGGGAAGGGGAATGCAGCATGACTTGATCCTCTGGAGGGTGCTTTCCTTTCTGTCAATCTCACTGACCAGCAGACGGCAGACAGCGAAACAGTTAAGTTCTTTTTTTCTTTTTTGGAGAGGTTTTTCGCTATAGGGCGTGTGTGCTTACCAGAAAGACAGAGAGACAGAGACAGAAAGCAAGAAATCACCCCCCGGGGGGATGATCACACCACAATCCCTTCTCCTCCACTCTCCTCTCGGGATCCTGGGCACGCACATGCGCCCGGCGTGAGTTTTAAGCCACCGGGTCCAGGACATGAACCAGGGTCGACTACCTGGGAGTCCAGCGACATAGCCATTACTGCTGGTTCCCAACAGTTAAGTTTTGAATAAAGAAAAAACTTAATAATAACTCATGGGAGAAAACCTGGCCTGCAAGAAATTATTTGGAAAAGATTTGAAAACTTTGGTAAGGTTTTTGGTCAGAAATTCTACAAGCCTTAAGAAAATGCTTGTATCAGCCCAGCTGTTGTAGCCCATGCAGTAGGATAGTGTTGCACAATAATAAGGCCCAGGATTCACATCCTAGGTTTACCTGAAAGTGTTGCACACGCCCACAGGCACACCTGTGATTCTGACTTCCTGGAAGGCTGGAGAAAGGAGTGTGCAGAAAGACAGAGAGACAGAGACAGAAAGCAAGAAATCACCCCCCGGGGGGATGATCACACCACAATCCCTTCTCCTCCACTCTCCTCTCGGGATCCTGGGCACGCACATGCGCCCGGCGTGAGTTTTAAGCCACCGGGTCCAGGACATGAACCAGGGTCGACTACCTGGGAGTCCAGCGACATAGCCATTACTGCTGGTTCCCAACAGTTAAGTTTTGAATAAAGAAAAAACTTAATAATAACTCATGGGAGAAAACCTGGCCTGCAAGAAATTATTTGGAAAAGATTTGAAAACTTTGGTAAGGTTTTTGGTCAGAAATTCTACAAGCCTTAAGAAAATGCTTGTATCAGCCCAGCTGTTGTAGCCCATGCAGTAGGATAGTGTTGCACAATAATAAGGCCCAGGATTCACATCCTAGGTTTACCTGAAAGTGTTGCACACGCCCACAGGCACACCTGTGATTCTGACTTCCTGGAAGGCTGGAGAAAGGATTGTGGGATGAAGACCCTGGTGAGGGTGCTTGCCTGCGTTGCTTGTTCACTCTCTGGGAAAAAACTGAACAAAAGCACAGTTTGCCTCTTAGGCAAACAATGACATAAATATTAATGTAATGGCAGTTTCATAGATGGGATCGTCTATGCACCTGGTAAACAACTGCAGTATTGAGTTGCTTTTGGATGAGTCCCACACACTGTTTAATCTGGAAGCAGGTTGACCAAAATGACATGTTACTTGAAATAGTTCTGAAGCTTTCAGATAGTGATCATACAGTAGAGAGGCAGTGAACTTTTCACCAGTCTGAGAAAGACTAGAAATAATAGAGTAGCTGTTTCAGTAGGTTTTTCTGTTGCTAAAAACTAGATAGCACATTGGTGAATTAATAAAGAACTGAGCTTAGGGACCAGCAGGTGGCCTAATGGTTACATTTCTGGACTCCCACTTAGTTGCCCATGGTTAGAGTCTCAGACCTGGTGGCTTAAAACTTATGTTTTAAGGCACGTGTGCGTGCACGCTCAAAATCCCAAGAGGAGAATGGAAGAAAAGGGATTGCCATGTGGCCATCTCCCTGGGGATGATTTCTCGCT